AAAGGCGGCTCACTGGCAAGAAAACCCAAGGAAAGCAACAATGAATCCCTACCTGCCTCTCCGCCCTGGCTCCTGCACATTGCCAGAAACATCCTGTTCCCACATTATCATTTGAGGTCTCTGGTCTGGCCGCCTCTCTGAGACATCTTGATGGGCTGGGGGTTGGACCAGGGGAATGTCTGAGACCCAGGTGGGAGCCATTCTTGATAGAGTTGGAAGGGGACGAGCTTGGAAGTGGGATGGGGGAATCAGCCCAGTGGAACCTGAGGAATCACACACAATGACAAAAATGGTTAGTTTCCGAGGGAGAGACAATCATCAGTCCCCTTGCCTGGTCCCACTGACCTGAAGGTCGAAACATCTCCACATCATTTGAAGTCTCTAGATTCTGTGTCCAGTCATCTATGTTTTCCTGGACAACAGTAGAAACAAGGACACCCCAGATCAATTTTCAGGCCACCTTCCAAAGAGAAAGCCCTACAATAACAAAATCATAATCCTTTAGTAACTTCCCAAGTAGGAAATACCCAAAGATCACTTGCTTGACCCAACCTGGCTCCTGATAGAACTATGGCAATAACCATCAGGTAGAGGGAATTAACTGAGACAGGTTGAGAAAAAGCTCTTAGTCTTTACTCATACTCTTAGAATTCTGGGCAGAGCCTTTACCCTCCTCCTTAAGTTCCTACAGTCTCTGCTGTTCCTAGTCGGAGGTGAGGAAGGAGGTATGCAGTGCAGGGGCTGTGAGCCCAATCTCCAGAGTTCTCTCCATGGCTCAGCAAGGCCTTCAGGAAGCCCATCCAGACACCACCAAGCCATGACGCCCGGTCCTTCCCTATTACAGCACTGGCCCAAGGCCTGGTCCCAGATGAATGTGACCACGTGTAGGGCAGGACACTCTCCAGGTCCCCTGGGAATCCAGACAGCCTAGATCCCTTGGCAGAAAAACCAGCTTCCTGACATCTCACCCAAACCCTTCTATCAACGTTCCTTAGTTTCTCTCTACTATGCCCTTTGCAGCCATTCCTGCCGCCTACCCTCCTCTTTCCAGAGTCCTAGAGCACAAGAGAGGTCTCTTCAAGGTCTCCCCACCCTCCCACCAGAATTCACCTATTTTCTCCCAATCTGGGATTCCTATCACCCTCGCTACAGCCTAATCGGATTTTTTCCTGAAGGAATTATTCCGATCCCTTACTCCCCCCTCATCTCCCAATTGCTTCCCTGCACTCTAGCAGGTTCTCAGTTCTCGCTCACCCAGCACAGCTCTGATAGAACTATGGCAATAACAAGCAAAGGGTAGAGGAATTAACTGTGTAGATTTGAGAAAAAGCTCTTAGTCTTTGCTCATACTCTCTTGGGAATTCTGGGCAGAGCCTTTGCCTCCTCCTTAAGTTCCTACAGTCTCTGTGATGGGGAGGTGAGGAAGGAGGTATGCAGTGCCGAAGTCAGAGCCCAATCTCCAGGGATTCTCTCCATGGCTCCTTAGAAGGCCTTCAGGAAGCCCATCCAGGCACCACCAAGCCGCTGACACCGGTCCTTCCTATTACCCAGCAGCTGGCTAAGGCTGGTCCCCGAATGAATGTGACCACGTGTGGTGGAGACCACTCTCCAGGTCCCCTGAGAATCCCAGATGATCCCTTGGCAGAAAAATCATCGCTTCCTGACATCTCACCTCAAAATCCTTCATCTATGGTTCCTTGGTTTCTCTCTGCTGTATGTAGCAGCACGCGGCCATTCGCAAGCTGCCCTCACTCTTTCAGGGGTCACCAGAGCACCAAGAGAGAGAGGTCTTCTTCTGGTCTCCCCCTTACTCCTGCCAGAATTCACCTATTTTCTCACAAATGCAGGTTCTATCACCCTCGCTGCAGCCCTAAATCTCAGTTTTTCAGTCATCCATCCCTCCCTCATCTCCCCATTGCTTCCCACTGCTCTGGTTCTCGGTTCTCGCTCACCCCATCTCCCCCTCCGCCTCTCCTGCAGATGCCCGGAGTCTACCCTCCTGGACCCTGAACTCTAAGGCCATTCGGGCCACCTCATCTGTTGCTTTACCTGAGTCCTGGCCTCTTCCCTGGACCCTGACCCCTGCCCATTGCCCCTCTCATGTT